CACTTTATGAGAAAAAGAATACATACGGAGGTCATTTGGGGCTGTCACGGTGTCCTGCAACAAGAGAAAAACAAAGCATCTTAACATGCGGGGTGCTGTTGGTGCCGATATTTCACATGGTGACATTAGAAAACCATGTCACTGGTCCCCAAATGAAGCATATAAGATGCATCTGAACAAAACAGTGGGATGTTTTGGAAATTTAGCAAGTGGCCATGTCAGCTGGAAAATACCAAATAGTTTTTCAAAAAGAGTATGTTGCCACTAAGAAATAGGCCCACGACCAGACTGTAAGTTATGCCACCTTTTAACTGACATCGTCAATCAGGCCTCTGTTGGTCAGAATCTCCACTGACTGGTCTCTAGAGTCAATGAAATGACAACTGAGATCTGATTCACAATGTCAGTCAAAAATGATATTCACTTGATATTCCAGAGGCCCCAGAAATAAAAATTTCTCTTCGAGACAAAGAAATGCATTTTACCACATCACGGGGTAGCTCGTGGTCTTCCATGTCTTCCAATATGAGGTCCTGTGGGACCTGAATAGCACCTAAGACAACACAGAGTGACAGTGCATTGGTGCTGCTGAGGAATCTCACAAGGAGCTTTGGGAAATGTGGACCAGGATGGAGTGTATGGAGCTGGGCGACGACAAGCATGGACCCAGCTGCTGCTGGACCATTCTCCTTGGTGCTGAAAGAAGAAAAAGGGGAGGGGTAGAAAGAAATGAAAGAGCCTTGGCTTCCTAGCTAGGGCAACCTCATCAATGTGAAATCGTCATTTGAAGAACCCGTTAATACAGAAAGGCAGTGTACTATAGAAACAGGAAGGAGATTAGGGCTGCCTAGAACCAGGGGTGTGGGGGGTTAAGGAAAAAAACAGAGGAGTCACTACTAAGGGGGTTTTCTGATTGGGAACCAAGAGCTTCTAAAATTAGATTCTAACAATGGTTGCACAATCCCGTAAATAGAGTGAAAACACTGAATCACATAATTTAAATGGGTGAATTAGTTTGCATGTCAACTACATCTCGGTAACTGTTTAAAAGGAAAAGAATACGTACGGTGGCAATACTGGGCTGCAGGCTTCTCCTGCAATAAGAGGAAGAGAAACACCATGAGGGTTACATCATGCTGGGTCCCTTTGGCACAGGTCTTGTATTCACTTGGTGGCATTAGGAAACCAGACGGCAGACTGGGCGCGGTGGTTCACGCATGTAATCCCAGCACGTTGGGAGGCTGAGGCGGGCAGATCATGAGGGCAAGAGATTGAGACCATCCTGGCCAACATGGTGAAACCCCGTCTCTACTAAAAACAAGAAATCAGGCATGGTGGTGGCGAGAACCTTCAGTCCCAGCTACTCGGGAGGCTGAGGCAGGGAGAATTGCTTGAATGCAGTAGGAGGACGCTGCAGTGATCTGAGATCACGCCACTGCACTGTAGCCTGGTGGCATAGAGACTGTGTCTCAAAAACTAAACTAAACTAAACAAAAAACCAGATGTCAAACAGTGATGAAGTCACAGGCTCCAAATGGAGAACAGGGGATGCTTGCAGAAAATGCAGTGGGTTTGGAATACTTAGCAAGTATCTATACTGGCTGAAAAATACAAAATTATTTTTCAGGAAGAATATGTTGCTACTGAGAAATATGCTCACTACTAGTTTTTCAGTGATGTCATCTTCTGACTGACATCATCAATCAGGCTTCAGTTTGTCATACATTCCAGTGACTGGCAGCTAGAGTCCATGACAGCTGAGGCCTGATTCACAATGGCAGTCAGAAATGATACTCACTTGATATTCTAGAAGCCCCCAAAAAAGACATTTCTCTTCAAGACAAAGAAATGCATCTTACTATGTCTGGTGACATCTCCTTAAGGTTTTCACGTGTAAACTCCTTTGGGTCTTGAAGAGGAGCTAGGAGAACACAGAGAGACAGTAAGTACACTGGTGATGCTGAGGAATCCCACAAGAAGTCTTGGGGGATGTGGACAAAAGCTGCAGTGTATGGAGGGGGGCTGTTGACAAGCATGAACTGAGCTGCCGCTCGGCCACTCTCCTTGGTGCTGAAGGAAGGCAAAGGAGAGGGGAAGAAAGAAATGAAAGAGCCTTGGCTTTCTAGCTAGGGCAACCTCACCAGTGTGAAATAGTCTGAGAACCGGTTAATACAGAACAGCACTGTATGGCTCAGTGAGAGCATCTCATCACACCTGCTGCCCACGTGAAGGTCTAGGCAAATCCCAACATTTTATGAAACGTTACAGGATTATTTAACTTCTGTGGATCTACATATCCTGCTGCTACATTTATCATCTGTCCTGTTGTATTTTTTAAATTTTAAAAGCTTACATATTTATTATTTTAATTATTAAGTGTGCAGCATTTCAATTTATTTTAATTAAGTGTGCACTCAATATTTAGTGAGTAACATTCATGATGCTGTGTCAAAAATGAGAAAAATCAAATCTAAATTTATAATCTAGCTTCCGCCTTGGGCATTGAAAGAAAAAGAGCAGTATAATCTCGAATTGAGGAAAAATAAATAATGACTGCAGAAATTAATGGAACAAAAAACAGGAAATCATCAGAGAAAATCAACAACAAAAAAACCAGTTCTTTGAAAAGATCAATAACACTGATAAACCTCTACCTTGTCTAACCTCAAAGGAAAAGAAGGAAGTCACGATGTACTAATAATATCAATTCAAGATGAGTTGAATCAAAAAATAATAAAGAAATATTGTGAACACATCTGTGCTCACACTTGGAAACATATGAAATGAGCTAACTTTTTGGATCTGTTTAGAAGGTTAAACATCTTCTCATGATAAATGAATCATCTGAATAGGCCTATATTTATATTAGAAATTGAATCAATATATCTTCTCAAAAGAACAAAAACACTACCTTCAAATGATTTCACTGGTAAATTCTACCAAAATTCTTACAAAGAAACGTAGTCTTACCGTACAAGCAAGTAATCATAATTTTAGTATTTCCTTACATTTTAAAATTATGTTTCCAAACAAGACACAAGAAGGTTTGTAATTGCTGTATTTATAATTGCCCAAACTGAAAGCAAATGTCTAAACATTTGAGATGTCCTTTACTATCAAAAGTGAACCAAGCCTGGGCAACACTTTGAAACCCTGTCTCTACAAAAAAAAATAAAATTTAAAAAAAGAGCTTGGTATAAAGCATGTGCATTATAGCCATCTGCTTGGGAGACTGAGGTAGAAGGATCATCTGAACACGGGGAGGTCAAGATTGCAATGAGCTGTGATTGCACCAGTGCACTCCTGGGTGAAAAATGAGACCTTTTCACAAAAACAAAGAAATAAAAAGAACCAAACTCTAAGTTGCCAATGTAACTTTACTTGTAGTTGCATCACCCATTAATTTAATGCATTTAAATGGGCACAAATGAAATAAATGAAGAACATCACATAGCATTTACTGAGTCTCTCTAAAACACTGGATGAGTAAACTGGAATTATTTGCTTCAATCAACTTAATGATATAAGCTCCACTCTACCTTCATTTTCAGTGGGGCAAATTTTTTTACACCTGCATTTTTGTACCCAGCTCCTTGCACAGCCAGCCAAACCTGCAAGGTAGAAATGTATTATAATAAAGACAATTCTTGACATCTTGCTGGCAGAAGACCACAGAGAAATTAGTAAAAACTTAGTTTAAACTTTTGATCCTAGTTTTTACCGACTGCTTTTCAATGCTACCTGAATTAGATCTGGGTTCTAGGAAGATTTGTTTGTCCAGGCAGATACCTTTATTCAGATGAGACAATATAGAGAAGCAGAAGATCCAAGTTACCAAGAATAGGCTGGGTTCAAATCCTACTTAGAATCTGCACATACCCTGGGAGAGGGATATGAACCCATCTGTGCCTCTCTTCCCTATTCTGAGATGTAAAAACGTTAGTAGATCTATGCTATAGACCTACTAAGGTCTATAGCACCTAAAAGAATGAAACACAGATAAAGACTTAAAAAGACTCTTTTTTTTTTTTGTTTGTAAATGCCCTAAAATGTTCAATCATTCAATGTCGAGAAGGATAATCCAGATACATGGTAGTGGTTGAATACAGAGAGGAAGCCTGCATGTCTCCTGTGCAAAGAAGGATGGAAAGTAACGTCACAGTTTCCATGGCCACATGATTTCCAGCTCATGACACAGATCTGTGATTTCCCTGATCCCCACATCAGCCACAAGGGACAGGCAGGGAAGGGGCTACAACCCATATTTTCCAATTCAGTGAATTAAGACTCAGACATTTTGAGTGACTTGCCCAGAGTCACCGCAGTGAGGAGTGATAGATCTGAGGTAATAATGTAGTTGGTTCTCCGGGGATAGAGATCCTGGAACACCTGAGTCCTCTAGATCATGCCCTGAACCCTGGACTGAGAGCGCTTCTCACAAGCTTTGTCAAATCCTGCTGCCCCAACATTTCTGTGGGATGGTTGAAGCTCTGGAGATGTGGCAGGTGGCTTACCACATTTACTGACCTACTCTATTATCCCTATGTTGTCACTTTTATTAGTTTTATGACCCATAAGGCAAACATTTTAAGTCTCTCAGTTATGCATGATCAGAGATTTTACCTAAGCCCACTCTTTCTACCCATCAGGTGATTCTCATCTGCTGGGCTAGAGCTGGCCTGATGTAAAAAATAACACACGGCATACCATGGAACTACTGCGTGCCCCACTCCTGTGCATGTGGCATACCACGGGGCTGCTGCATACCCCACTCCTGGGCACATTCTTGCCTTGCTTCTGCTTTCCCAGCTCTGACAATCCTAATTCTGGCTTCCAAACCAATCCTGTATGTCCCTCTCAGTTCTCAGACTTGCCTCAACTGTGGATATTTTAATCACTGTTGTAGTGACCATGACTGAACTGTGACATTTCATATACCATACTATATGTTTATCTTTTTATATATTTCTTAATAAAATTTAACTTATTTTTTTTTTCAGACTTTTTAGGAACATTTCTGGGCTAGGTGTGCTGGCCCACGGCTATAATCCTGACATTTTTAGAGGCTGAGGCAGGAGGATTAGCTTAAGGTCAGAAGTTTAAGACCAACCTGGGCAACACAGTGAGACCTCAATTCTACAAAAAGCTTCTAAATGTCATAGGATGTGGTGGTGAGCCCTTGTATCCCTAGCTACATGGAAGCCTGTTGTGGGAAGATCATCTGAACCTAGAAGATTGAGGCTGCAGTGAGCTATGATCACGTCACTGCTCTCCAGCTGGGGTAACAAAGCAAGACCCTGTCTCTTCAAAATAAAAAGCATTACTGTGTTACACGTATCCCCATTTTGTTTCTCATTATCTAATATTGCTGTTTTCATCCTGAGCTTGATTGCTTTAGTAAGCTTTAGAAAGTTTTTTAGACAAGGTAGTATTTAAAGCAGGCCATATGCATACCTTTTAATAGATTCTAGTTTTATATGCCATATATCTAGAATTTACATTCCTGATCTACTCCGTCTTCTTCTTAGAACCAGCCTCCTCATATGTAACACAAGTATAATTCCCATATTACACCTAACTCAAAATATTGAGAGGATAGAATAAGATCAAAGAGCAGTCTGTATACTACACAAGGCACAATAGATTACAAACCAAAGCTTTCTCTAACTCAAAGGCGAAAAGTGCACACTTAACATCCTTTGCAGAACCCATAGCAAAATAATATTTTGAGAAACTATGCACTTTGGCTACCCAGTGAAGTTAGGAGAAAACTGTCACAGGTCAAGACTTCCCCAACGTTGTCTTTTACTTTTAAATAATGAAATACACATTATTTCTCCTGCTTTCTTTCATGTGTATTACTGCACATTCTCCTTTTGGGCTTTTCTGAGTACCCTATCTTGGGAATCACTCCACAGCAATAAAAAGACATCTTACTCTTTTTCACAGCTCCATACTTCTCCTTTATGTACAAGTACCAGCTTATTTTACTAGTCCCTTACTAGGCATGCCAGTTATTTCCATTATTTAACTATTGAAAATAATGCAACAAGAACTTTGCAAATAGTTTGTTTTATATTTATGGAGCATAACTTCAGGATAAAATTCCTCAAAGTAGGATGTCTGGTTCAAATGCATTTTCACGGTTGTGAGATTGTGCCAAATTCCCCTTCATGAAGTTGAGTCTTTGCATTTCTACCAGCAATACATGAATGCAACTTTCCTTACAGCCACACCAAGGAATGTTTTGTCATGGTTTTGGGATTTTCCTCAATAGTAGAGACCCTGCAGTAGAGCTGTCATTTGCCTTTCTTTTATGAGTGAAGATGTGTTTAAAAATCACCTGTATTTCTTTTTCTGTGACTTGTCTATTTACCACTTTATTATCCACTTTTAGTGTCACTTGATTTTTCTCAAGTCCACCTCTTTCACGTCATTGTTGTTTTTCTCTTCACTGTCGGCTCTCACCTGAACTACTCCACCAGTCTCCTAGCTGCTCTTCCTGCTTCCACCCTTGCCTGTATTACAGCATATTCACAGAGCTGCTGCTCAGTCTTTTTCTTAGAGAATTAACAGTAATCCTGGGCTATAATCCTCCAGTGGTTTTCCATCTCAACTGAAGTCCATCTTTTCTGTGAGTGCTCACTACATGTACAAGGCCTTCACCCACCTTATTCATCCCAGCATCCTTTTACTCTGCTGCAGCTGCCCTTGTGGCTTTCCCTCCTTTGCCTAAAACTTTGTTTCAATTTCAGGAATTCCAAAGCGGATATCCCTCTCTGGAAGCCCTCTCCTATCATCCTCGCAGGGTTCCCCTAACTTTTTTATTTTTAAAACTAAATAAGATGGGGTGTCTCTGTGTTGGCCAGGCTGGTCTTAAACTTCCAACCTCAAGGAATCCCCTCATCCTGGCTTTCCAAAGTGCTGGGATTAAAGGTGGGAGCCACTATACCCAGCCCATTTCACTTTTAAGACTGTTCACATGTCACTTAAAGAGAACATCCTGCTCTTAGCGCCAACCCTCCATCAAACTGCCCTCCTCTTTAATCCATCACCCTGCTTTACTTTCTTCCCAGCACGTCACCACCTGCCATTCTTGACTATTCATGTGCTGGCTGCCCTTACTTCCCTATCGAATATAAGGGTCAGACTTAGAATGGGGCTCTCTGTTGTGTTCCACTGTTGGCCCTGCATCTGCAACACTGCCAGGCCATTTGAAACTGCTCGATACATATATTTCATTTTACCCCAAACTAGTTAAGTTTCTCCCAATTCTCCCAGATCTGCTAAAGTTTTCTTTTGTTTTATCATCTAAGACAGCATCAGGTTTTTAAAACTGGTAGCTATTTAGCATTAAAGACACAAGCTATCAAGATCCACATAAATGAAGAATGTTAATGTCTAAAAGTCAATGGTAACTGCAGTTTGACACAAGTATATTTAATACTAAAATATCTTAAATACAAAGTGACTCATTTCATCAATTTAATTATGTCACTAGAAAAAATATATTTGAATTTTATAACGAGATATTACACATCTGTCATCAAAATGTGCTTTATGTGTGTTCTGAATCAAACATGACAGGACTGTTTCTGACTTTACGAAAAAAGACAGCCAATCGCAAGGGGCAGGTAAATAAATAGTGCTTTAACCAGTCCGTAGTACACTAAGCAGTTATTCAAAGTCATCAGGTAGAGCAGGGTGCCCTGGCAGGCAAAGACATCCTGGAGTGCTCTCTTGGTGTCAAGTACTGTTTGAGAAACTTACGCCATTATTTCACTGCTTTAAAAGTTATAAGGCAGCACATATAAAATAATCAGAAAGTTTTATTTTACAAAAAAGTTTGTGAAATAAAATATTTTATTCAAATGCAATAGCAATAATTTCCAGAAAAACAGTGCTCAAACTGTAACACAAGTGATCTATGGGTATTCTGAGTGTAATAAATAACTTTTCTTTATTTTCTACATCTTTTACATGAAACATACTGATAGTTATTTTAAAAGGAGGGTTCAAAATAGGTACTAGAAAGCTGAAAGACCTGCTGCTCAGAGGTCTCTACATCATATGCCCATGCTTTCCCTTCCCTGACCCCTCACTTGAGAGAGCCAACAAACCAGCAGCATTCCTATGGTAAGAACACAAAAGGCTGCATGAAAAGTCGATGGGTAGTGATAAAACTGAATAATGAGCTCCTACTATCTTAATCTGTTCCTTATATTACTCCCAGTCGTATTAGATATACTGCTAAATAAAGGCATGATAGGACAAAACATGTTTGAGTCTGAGATCTAAACTGGGTTCTTAGAGCTTCTCTTTGAAATGGCTTCAAGACACAATGTTCTTTTGAAATATTTCAGAAGAGAACAATGAAGCAGAGCATAATTTATGGCATAAGTTCCTGAAACAGGACTTGCCACCTAGAGAGCACTCCAGGATGTCTTTCTACAGCAGTGCGCCCTGCTCTGCCTGATGCCTTTAAATGACTGCTTAGTGTGCCACAGAATGGTTGGAGCACTGGTTGCTGTGATATTTGTCTAAGTTACCAAAAGAATTCAACTCGTCATTATAGAAAGGCTAAAATGTTTCACATCTAAGTAGGAATTTATCATTTTCCAAAAAAAGTAATACACAATTTTCTGAAATAAAGATATTAACAACAAACTTTGAATGTGTCTATACTTTATATTGAGTGTTCTGAACATGTTTCTTTCATTTTATTTTCCCAGCCAGGCTGGAGTGTACTGGCGGGATTTCGGCTCACTGCAACCTGCAACTCCCGGATTCACGTGATTCTCCTGCCTCAGCCTCCCAGGTAACTGGGATTACAGGTATGTGCCACCGTGCCTGGCTAATTTTTTGTATCCTTAGTAAGTAGAGAAGGGGTTTCATCATGTTAGCCAGGCTGGTCCCAAACTGCTGACCTCAGGTAATCCGCCCACCTCAGCCTCCCAAAATGCTAAGATTACAGGCATGAGCCACTGTGCCTGGCCAAAGAATGAACACTGAAATTGAGGTTTCTGTTATCCCTTTACTGAATACAACAAAAACACGTTTGAAGAGACATATAGAAACTTACTGTCATGCACATACACATAAGATGGTAAATTCTGTGCTCACAAACTATTTTTTCTTCAACTGCTCTGACTTAACACTTCTTACTCGGGGCCTTGCTTGCCCTCCTGCCAGCTTCTCCTTTCTCCTGAGCAGGGCATTCTCAGCTTCAAATCAGTTAGCAGATGAAACTCTTCCACATTTATTAAACTTGATTTGACTGGTAAATGTAGGCCATTTTGTTACCCCTACTTTTGTCCTTATCTATTTCAATAAATGTATGGACAGAAGGTAGAGCCAGGAGAGATGGCACGTGCCTGTATATTGTCTGCTTTCCTACAGGCTGAGGCAGCAGGAGTGCTTGAGCCCAGGCCAGGAGTCAGAAGCCTGGGCTCTGTGCCCACAGTGAGGACTCATCTCTTTAGGAGGAAAAACGGAGAGGTAAATGTGTAAAATAAAATGCAAAAGGAACTAATCAAGATGAAAGTTCTAAGAGAGGTCTATGTTATGGGTAGACCTTAAAATATAAGACATTCTGGAGTCAAGTTCTTTAAGAACTGAGTTTGGCATCACTACGACCTCCAATGTCTACTTTGATGACTTAGAACCTCAGTCCTGTTCAGCAGCTGTCTCACACAGTCCCTTCAGATCTCTAAGCCTTCCCTTCTGCATCAGCAACAGCTAGAATATACACAGGCCTTATTTGTATTTGGAAGCTTCCAGTAAGATGTACATGAAAACATGTTTTACATCCTAAAGAATAAGGAAAAGGCTCACTTTGTTCTCTCACTACCTCATCTGCCAAATCAGACAGAATATCACACAGAGGCTTGCCATACACCACCAAGCAAGGAGTTTCCACAGGTACTTGCATGCTTTGTGTATAAGGTACAATCTATTAAGTCTCATAATTATTTATTCTTTCACAATTTTTCAATACTCTAAAAAGGGAGTACAGCACTTCCTTGTTACAAAGGCACACCCATCATGAGGCTTAATTATTCTGTGAAAGAAGGTAAGAGCCAAACTGAAGTTTAAACACAAGACCTGTAAGACATTTTCTCCATACTAATAAAATCTCTGCCATTAAAATGAAAGAAATGAGCTGATCATATTTCTATGTCTTTATGATATAATGTTTTCTATTTCAGTGGACTTAGTCTTTGTTCAAGGAACTGGTTACCCAGAATTATCTGTTGCTAGATTCATCTATTTCAAAAATCCTAAAGGATTTTAGACTGAAGGCTGCTGGCCCTGGCTGATGCCTGTCACCCAAAAAGCCTATGTCACCTGGTTACCAGGAAACAACCAAGTCAGGCTACTGGCTCACAATGCCCTGCCCCAGAGCCCCACCCAATGGCTCACAATGCCCTGCCCCACAGCCCCACCCAATGGCTCACAGTGCCCTGCCCCAGAGCCCCACCCAATGGCTCACAATGCCCTGCCCCAGAGCCCCACCCAATGGCTCACAATGCCCTGCCCCAGAGCCCCACCCAATGGCTCACAGTGCCCTGCCCCACAGCCCCACCCAATGGCTCACAATGCCCATCCCTGCTGCTGCCCACCTATGGTCACCATTCCCCCATGTGACTGAATTATTCATCCTGGGCTGCCTGAGCTTTCCAATCATGAGAAAAGTCTGTGGAGGGAAGGGTGGTTGTTATTGGAAGTCACCCTGGGCACTGAACTCAGTAGAAAACCCTGGTTACTAATGTCAGTTCCATTAGCATCTCTGGTTTTCTGAGTCTGGGAGCTTTCATTTGCTCAACAAATGTAGTGATACACAAATGTTTGACTGATTTTGTAACTAAATGCTCCTCTCCTTATAAGTGTTAGTTTTTGTCTTCAATTTGACCATAGCAAAAAAATGAAATGCTTCCTCTCTCCTCCCCTTTCCCATCCTGTAGGAAGGGGGCCATGAAAACAAATTCTTTTCCACAGGCAGAGTCTGGCCTTCTAACTCTCAAGTCTTTACCTTACAAATTCAAGTCGAAAGTCATTTCATCTCTTTTGGAACCTGTAACCATGAGCTAGCTCTACCTGTCTTTCAGAAGGTAAGGAGGTAAAGCCGATGAAGTTACTGGAGTAGTGCTGAAGAGACATTCACGTCAAAGTGGGAATTTTTAAGTAATCAGAGCTCCAGGGCTAAACTTTGGGTAAAACCACAGCAAAAACAACTTTTCTACAGCTCTGGCAGTAACATGTCATATCTTTTGCCATCATTTTAAGCATGTCCCTCAATTTTTTCTTTGGTTTTCAAATTACAATTGGAAGAAATAAAGCTGCTTCTGTCAAGGTGACTTCAAACCATCTCTTAAGAACACCATATAATCTCCTCCATAGCTCTATTTTAAATTTAAGAACTTTCCAAATATTTGAGTCTGAATTTCCCCAATTATTAGCTTCCTTATCAAATAGGAGAAAAGAAATGAATGGGCCTTTAACCGGCTCCTTCACTGAGGTACCATAGTAGCTGGATAGGTAAGGCTAAAGAATGGGATGGAGACTCCAAAACTGGAGTATCTGAATTTTCACTGGGGAAAGGGAAAGACTAGACCCAAAATGCCTCAAGCAAGAAGGCTCAACAACAAAGACAAGAGGCAGGACTAGCCTTTGTCCCCCATGCCCAGCCCTGGGAAAGCTGGCTATAGGCAGGAGGGAGCTGAGAGCTGAGGATGTCTCTGGGGTGAGGGGATGGGAAGGAGGTGGGGGAGGTGGTGGCCAGAAAGAAAATGGCACCCGTGGCTTCTTTACCTTTGTGCCGCTTTGACTTGGGCTGCACGTGCTGGACCTCCACCACTCCGGCATGTAAAACGTCAGGCTCTGCCGTCGTGGATGCTGGTGGTGTAGCTGCCACAGACTGAGTCCCACAACATGACGCCACTGCCTCCCTGCACCAGGCACAACTGAGGCCAGCCCTGGAGCCTAGGCAATCCCACATAGGTGACCTATAAGGGAACTTAAAAACAAAGCAATGCACAAAATCAGAAAAAACAAAAAAGAACAGTGAGAACACGTGGACACAGGGAGGGGAGCACTACACACTGGGGTCTGTTGTGGGGAAATAGGGGAGGGACAGCAGGGGGTGGGGAGTTGGGGAAAAATAGCATGGGGAGAAATGCCAGATGTAGGTGATGGGAAGGAAGACAGCACATCACACTGCCACGTGTGTATCTATGCAACAATCTTGCATGTTCTTCACATGTAACCCCAATCCGAAATGAAATAAAAGAAAAAAAAAAAAACAAACAAAATTAAAACAACAACAAAAAAACAAAGCAACATACAAAATAAAAATAAAATAAAAAAAGGCAAAGAAAGAAAAGCAAAGCAACAGAGCAAGCCCCAAGGGCACAAACACTTCTGTGAGAGTAGTCGGAGCTCCTCCTCCTTTCACTACCAGCTTCTACTAGCCACTTCTGAGGATGATGGTGAGGTAAGAACCCCTTTTTCTGTCTTATAAAGAATGCCCTGTCAGGTGGGAATTGGGGAGGGAGAGCATCAGGATAAATAGCTAATGGATGTGGGGCTTAAACCTAGGTGATGGGTTGATAGATGCAACAACGGACCATAGCACATGTTTACCTGTGTAATAAACCTGCACAGTCCTGCACATGCATCCTGGAACCTAAACTTCAAAAGAAAACGAAATGAAAAAAGAATTGTTTCTTTTCTGATTTCTTTCCTTCTGTTAATTGTGTTAATCTGAGAAGGCATTATGTCTGACATGTCCAATTCTCTTTTTGGGGTTGGAATTCAATGGGAGTGTCTTCCCATTGGATACGTGATATTTTAGAATGTTTTTAGATGACAGCATTCACTGTAACTCCGAGGAATTTTTCTCAACACCAGTTTTCTTCTTTCGTTTAGGCATTGTGTATTTGCCAATGTAAATCAACTTCTAGATAAATTCTGTGGGAAAAGGTCTTGTCTTTTCCACAGGTGTCCTCTATTCTAGCATGTTGGATTGTTGGCCTTTGTAAGACTCAACCATTGTCTTCAACTAGTTTCCTGAAGTCATCAAGAGACTGATAGATCTGTGGGGGTGGGGGCGGGGGTGCAGAAGAATTCATCTGATTCTCATAGCATCTTGTTTTGTCTAATTACAGAGTTCATCACTGACTGTTTCCGGTATGTACCCTGAAGTAGCTCACTTGCTGTGGAACAAACTTGCTGGTTTTAATATATAGAAACCTGATTCTGGGTTCTGGTTAAAGAATATTGGGGGTCTAGTGAGAGCAAATAATTTTGCAAGTGTATAACTATGATCAGAGGGACTGTATGAATGCATGTGAACCCAGAGGACCAGCCAGGTTATGTGAGCCGACGTGGCTTCAGCTGGAGTAGAAGTGAGTGTACCTCTCTCTGACTTACTCTGCTGTTGGTGGTTCTAAAGAGTGGATTCCAGAAAATCTCAACAGCGAAGACACCTTTCCAGGTAGGCAACAAGATTACAGGTGGAATCTAATAAAGCAGGTTCCCAGGAGCCTTCAGCTTCTGCCTACTGTTTGGGAGGGTGAGCGAGTATGTAGAAAGAGAAGAAAAAGAAAACGTGGATGAAGTTTGTTCTTGTCAGAGTTTAATGTCATAGTGGTGAGAAGTGTGAGTACCCTGTCTGTGATCACCTCTTCTTTTTTTTCTTCTTTTTTGTGTGTCCCCTGTTCTTGCTTTATTATTTGAAGATGGTCTTTCTGAGAATACCTCTTTTCTGCCTCTGCCACTGCAAAATGTTAAGGCCTTTGGTTTGGGACACAGTTCTGTCATGGCAGTTACTTAATCCTGGAGACAACAAGTCTTCCACAGTGTGCCCTGGGAGAAACTGATCCTCGCCTTCTGAACTGTTAGATTTCATGGCGGCACATTCATTTCTCTGTCCTTGCTGTTTACTCCTGATATCAAGGGCTCTCTCTGGGCATGGGGGACAGGATGAAGATTTGCTCTGGGGTCATTGCAAAGGTCCAGTGTCTTGTAAATGGAGGAAGAAGCACACCCTTGAGCACACTGCTCAATTTTATTATTTAAATGAGAATATGGAGTTTTACCATCATTTGTTAAAGAGGTCTTCCTTTTCCCATTGTGCATTCTTGGCACCTTTGTTGAAGATCAGTTGGCTATGTATGCATGCATTGAATTTTGGGATCTGTATTCTATATCTCCAATACTTACGGGTGCCCCCATGCTAGGACACTGCTGTCTGAATTTCTGTATCTTTTCCTCTCAGATTTGAATCTCATGAATGTGTATCTTCCAATGTTATTCTTTTTCAACATTATTATGATTGTTTGAGACATATAAGAATTCAATAAAATGTTGGGTTATCTTTTCTATTTCTGCACAGATGGATGTTACCAGTTTGATAGTAGTTGTTGTGCATCTTTGGATCATTTTGTAGTATTGTGTATTAGTCAGCTTTTGCCTTCCTGTCTGTGAATATGGGACACCTTTTCATCTATTTGTACCTTCTCTACTTCCTTTCAGTCACATTCTGTTCTTACCAGGTTATGAGTATTTCATCTCATTGATTAGATTCTAAGTATCTAATGATTTCAGAGGTTATGATCCATGGAATTACATTTGTAATCTTGCTATTGGATCGTTGATATTGAGTGCATATTAACACAACTGCCGTTTGAGTGTTAATCTTGTATTCTGCAATTTTGATGAATTTATTAGCATGAATAGCATTCTTGTAGACTGTCTCCGATTTTCCATATGCAGAATGTGAAAGAAGTTCTCAGCTTCATACCTCTCCTCAGGCATATTGTGACTGTGAAAGTCTATTCATATTCACCTACTGAATGGTGTCCTTCCAATTGGTGCAGTAAGGTTGTTCAGGAAATATTTTGCCTACTTATTCCATCATTTATAGTTTTAATTCTTTGTTCATGCTATTGTATGTTTATTATTTTTCCATAGAGTAAAATGCAGTATTTCTGATTAGATTCTGCATACCTGACTTCCCTCTTCTTGTTGACTGAAAGCATATAGGGATGTCTCTTGTGCTTCTTTCTTTCCACCATCAGTTATCTTTTAAACTCTAGACTTCAGAATCTGAAGTGAATCTGGAATGTGGAAATGTGAGGGAAAACGCACAAGAAAGAAACCTAATATTGCTATTCCCATGGCTTCCCTCCTTTCATCAGCCTAAATGTATATTTATTTCACAGTATTTGAGAGCGTGTTACTTCTACTCATATCACAAGTTTTCCGAAATACATACTGATAATATCTGTGTCTAGGCCAGTTTACCTACCAAAACACAGTTTTAAACTTACTTTTGTGGATTATTCAAAATTCCCTAAGATATGAATAATATGCTTTCACCCAACCTGTTACCCTCCTCAGAAGGAAGGAAGGCACAAATCAGGTCCCTTGTGACACTATCCAGAGCACTTTGCCAAGGCTAAGCCACGGTCATCTCCATAACTTGGCAACAGCCTCAGTTTGAGCCACTTTACATTTAAGAGAAAGAAATCATACAGGATATGATATCACATACTTGGAACCTCCCAATAAGGTAGATAATTCTCCTCCCCAAGTAAATTGGTGTTCATTCCATTTGACGAGGTCTCCGTTGATTTTTCTTTTTTCTTTTTTTTTTTTTTAAAGAAAAGAGGTTTATTTTGGTTCACAGTTCTGTGGGCTTTATAAGAAGCCTAATGCTGGCATCTGCTTCTAGTGAGGGCCTTAGGAAGTTTACAATGAAGGTAGAAGGTGAAGGGGGAGCAGGTATGTCACATGATGAGGATGCCATGCTTTTTTAAACAACCAGTTCTTGCATGAACTAATGGAGTGATCACTCATTACCATGGGGAAGGCACCAAGCCATTCATTCACCCTGGTGACCCAAACATCTCTCACCAGGCTTCATCTCACATTTCAATATGAGATTTGGAGGAGACAAACATCCAAACCCTATTAGCGACACAGTGTCCCAGCGATGCCACACTGCACAGATTCACAGCTGGAGAAGCCTCTGCTCAGCACGGATGGGCAAATAGTCATTTCAACTTAACTCTAACCTTGAGACAAAAGAATGAAATATGAGTATCAAAAATGCTTTTGGTGACATCCGATTCCACACAGTAGCTACATCTGAAAAAAAGAAAATTTAAGTGCATGCTGTCTACAAAATGAGTCAGTGACCTGATGAAAAATCAATGGCAGAGCCACTGTACTCCACCCTGGGTGACTCTGCCGTTGATTTTTCATCAGGTCACTGACTCATTGTGTAGACAGCATGCACTTAAATTTTCTTTTTTTCAGATGTAGCTACTGTGTGGAATCGGATGTCTCACCAAAAGCATTTTTGATACTCATATTTCATTCTGTTGTCTCAAGGTTAGAGTTAAGTTGAAATGACTATTTTTGGACAGAACAGTTGTGCATTATGGCATCACCCCTGACTTGGGACCTTATCTGTTGGGTATGCATGCAGGTCTGGAATGTGTTAAGCTTTGAGATATCAAGCAAGTCAGTTCTTTTTTAATTTACCATTCTGAAGATCTACAATACACAGTTTATTTTAATAAACCCATTCACTCCTCGCTACAGAGCTCACCTAAACAGTGATTGTTTACTATCCACACACTCCTTGGATGGAGAAACCGAAGGGCTAATGAATGTGCCCATGCTTTTAAGCCCCTAAAGGAAGGAGGCAAGATATGAACCTAGGGTTATAGCTCTAAAGCTAAATTGATAATGAATTGTTGAACTGCAGTTATTACCCTGAGGAGAACGGCTCTCAACCCTACCATCGTGGGTAACTGTAAGTTGGTTCCCTCACATATGAGTCTACAGAGATCCCAAACACTGCCTATGATTCCAAGATGGCTGCAGCAGTCACGTGGCTTAGGGCAGACAACAGTGAATGTAACTGCAGGATACGGCATGGCCATTGGTGTGAATACTACGGAGCTGCCTTAGATACCTCTGACAACAGGGTCAAGTGCAAGTTCTGAATATTAGGAAGCGGTACTTAGAAATATTGAGAAACTCCTTTCAGTGCTGGAGACATTCCTCAGCAGTTGGCCCCAAACAAATAAGATGAATGAGATATTTTTGAGATAGCTGAAAACTCTTATCACCACAAGACCTAGAAATGATCAAATTCTGCAAACTACATTCATTAGACACAATGACAAGACAGAAAAGAAGCACAGGTATCCTCCATAGGCAATTACTGCACCTCCATGACAAAGGAAAGGTGGACTGAAGAAGGAACTATTCGTGTGATTAACACCAGTTGTTTTATAGAATATAATTTCAATGTTTCCAATTCTTCCATCATTGACTATAACAAAAGTTCAGTACGTAACTAAAATAGACTGGTTTGCCTAGAATTGAATCCATCTGTCTGATCAACTTAGCTTTTATTCAAGGATTGAAAATTCTAAAAAACAGAACTGTAGCGACAGCCATTTATGTGACAGCCATTTCCCTTCATGTGAATCCATAAATGGAAAAATGTTCTTGGGACATAAATCACATAAACATATATTGTTATTTCTGTTTGACACAATAAATCCCTAGTGTCCTCTTCTAAAAAATAAACCTCACTATGATTACACATTGCAAACAAAAAGATTATCTAAAACCAGTCTCAATCAACTTAGAAGTTTAATTTGCCAAGGTTAAGGACATGCTAGTGACACAGCCCCAGGAGGTCTTGAGTACACATATCCAAGGTGATCGGGCTACAGTTTGGTTTTTACATGTTTTAGGGAGACATAAGACATCAATTAATGCATGCAAGATGTCAATTTCTTCCGTTGAGAAAGATGGGACAACAGGTGGGAGAAGGTTGGGGCTCCAGGTCATAAGGAAGATTTCAAGATTTTTTAATCGTCAATTGGTTGAGTTTAAAAACCTGGAATCAATAGAAGAAAGTGGGTTCAGATAAGGGGCTGGGTAGACCCAGGTTTTTATTATGCATCTTTAAAACTGATGCTAAATGTAGCACCAGCATGATTGGGTCCTAGAGTACTGACGTAGTCTTGAATATGCTGTTTGTTTAAAAGAGCTTCAAAACGTGTGAGAGGTAGGAAGGCACTCTTCCATTGAACCTTAGTGTGCATTTGAGTTTCCCTTTTTGGTTGACTCTTCTGTGTTGCTGCATGATGCCTCTAGTATGAGGCGGAGACCTCCATGTCTCGTCTCTTTCCCGCTGCCCTCCCTCACCAGCCCTCTTCCACCCAGGGGGACAGCCCAGCAGCAACTCAGTCCGTGCTTGATAATCACCCACCTCCATACCCCACATCCAGCAAAGCTCCCTGAGTAACTCACAGCCACCCACCAACCACCAGGGTACTGAGCTTTCCTCTGTGTACTTCCAGTATCTTCAGATGACCAGGCCAGCATGGTCGGACTCAGACCCTGGACAGAGGAAGAAGATCTGGAGGAGGAAAACCTCTATGTAAGACTCCTTTTCTTTGTCTTCTAAAGAAATTTTGCTTTTGTGATTTCTTCTCAATTAATCTGGATATGAAAATCTGAAAGTGTACATTTTGTACAGCATATGCAATTCTCTTTGTGGGGGTGAAATTCAGTGGGACTATCTTCCCAACTAACACACAATACACTGGGAGGTTTTCAAATGACAGCATCCATTATCAGCTGTAATGCAGAGGCACTTTCCTCAACACGTTTTCCTCCTTGGATTAAGCATTGTGTATTTGCCCATTAAATCAACTTTAAAGGTGAATTCTGTGAATACAGACCTTATTTTTCCATAAGCATCCTCATGGTTTTGAGGATGTTGACCAATGGCTCAGCCGCTGTGCCACTTCTTGTTTTCTACCCTTGCCAAGGGAATAACAGATCTATGTGAGGTGCACCACAGAGTCTCAGCCTCATGTTTTCTTTTGTATAATTGCAGAGCACAATCCAGCAAAGGATGAAAAGTAAGTACCATGAAGCAACTCACATCATGAGGGACCAACTTGCCACTTGAGTGTTTAGAAACCTGATTCTGGGATCCTGCTGGGAAGGAGGATTGGGGGTCTCCTGAGAGGAAGTGATTTGGCCAATACAGAACTCCAGCCAGAGAGGCTGTAGGAAGGTTTATCAACTCAACAAAGACCAGGGAATGATGTGTGAGGCCACATGGCTTTAGCTGCTGGAAGAGGAGTGGGTGAGTCACTCTTTCTAATGATTGGTCCTGATGTTATTTTTTCTAAAGACTGGCTTCTGTGGAGCATCTTCAAAGTCATCAAAGACATACCCCTAGGTAGGAAACTACTTTCCAGGTAGGACCTAATGGGAAAGAGTTCCTAAGAGTCTTTGCCTTCAGGTTATCCCTGCTGTTTGAGGGGCTGATGCAGGGGGTATGAAATCAGAAAGAAAATGAAAATGTGTGTGAGGTTTGGTTTGCTCTTTTCAAAGTTTGTCATCATAAAGGTAGGAACTGTGTCTCTGGGCTGAGAGGGTGCTGGTGTTCATTAGAGATAATCTCTGCAGTACGCCTGCTCTTTTCTGCCCAGTGAAACATCAAAACCTTTGGCTTGGATTAATCAGCACTCCTTGGGATTATGTACAAGGGATGTAGGGCTGGGCATTGAGTGTCATCTGTAAGGAAAGGAAGGAATCTGTGGGAGCATTTTTCTCACAGACATTTACTTGAACTTAGAAAAAAACTCTGCTGTGTGCTAAGGGGAAATTGATAATCACCCTCTAAACTTTTAAGACTTGTTATAGCACGTTTATATTTCTGTCCTCTCTGTGGGTTTAAAGGGATCTCCCAGGGGTGAATGGCAGAGTGAATGTTCACTCTGGGCTTGCTAGTAGGTCTCCAGTCTCTCCTGGCAAGGCAGAGAAGGAGTCTGACTTGAGCACATTTGTAGCCTCCACTTCCCACCCCTACCGCAGATTCTGAGATGAGGCTTCTTTCTCTCAAGTTCTGTAATTTTTGGGGAAACTAAGAGTTCCTTCCCACAGAAGATGGCATTACACTATTTCCTGTCTTCAAAAATTAGGCTTTCATTGTTCTCTAATATCTCTGATATTTATAAGTTAAGTTCTGGACCTATTATTCACAGATTGCTAAAAGGTGTGCAGGAAATTCCATAGGATAAAATGTGCTGATAGCATATAATTCTGTCCATGCTGTGCTATGGATGACATTTTTATCTCTGGAGGATCCTCATTTTACATAATAAGATGTAAAACTAAGTGCGCACCCTTGATCCAGTCTGGGGCACTTCATTAAAGAACTGAGTTTGCTGCTGTCTGTCATTTGCTTTTCTTCATGAGACCTTTGAACCACCTAAATATTGCCAGCACCCTCTTTTGGGACCCCGACCGACATCTGAGAGGGTGAGATGGCACAAGTGCAGACATCCCTGGTTCCTCCCTGAAATTTCCCTCCTCCTTTATTCATCTTCTTCCTTAAGGGACCTGCTCTGACTGCTAATGACCTGTTTAGACCTCTCCAGGTTTGGACTGTCATACATAGAATAAGTCAATATGTGATTCTCGGTGTCTGGCTTTTTCACTCACATTATGATTTGAAATTCATTCACCTTCGTAAGTGTAACCGGCTTTGGAATAATACTGGCACTCATTTCTGTGAAGTAGATTGTTAGAAGGGAACATATCTTTTATTGCCATGAATAGTGCCAAATATTATTCAAAATGGTGTCCCTAATTCATGCTCCTGTGGCAGCATATGTGAGGAGACATTTCTCCAAATCCTTGTGCACTTTTAGTTTTATCTCTCCCTGAAACTTCTATCACTGTGGTTAGTCTTTCAATTGTATAGCATCTTACTTAAAATTTTTAACAAAAAATTTTCTTTTAATCTAATGATGCAGGCCAGTAGGTTTGTGTACGCCCATCTGACCCCAGCCATGTAAGTAATCATTGATCAAAATGTCACTATGCCACATGACTGTACTTGATAACAGCTGCTTAAGTTATTAAAATGTAAAGGATAAGTGATACACATTTGAGTCTTGGATACTATGTGGTCACTTTTCTATGTTGCCTCTTTGAAGCATCACAATCACTTTGAGGCATAGTTTGGTTCTATTCATTATACAGATGAGGAATGTGAATCTCAGTTAAGTAAATTATTCACGGGACACACCCACAGCTGGACCTCTCTAACACCAAAGGCTAATCTATAAACTAACATGCTGCACTGCCTGTAGTGGCAAAGTAGACTTGCCATAAAGTGAAGTTTGCTTCCACAGCTGGGCGTGTGAGCTTAGCGGGGTTGCTGTGACCCATGCTTTATGGGTTTGAGATTGGTGTTGCAGAAACCCAGATGGAGAAGCTCTTGGCTGAGGGAGTGAAAAATTACTGAAAGGATAGATGAGTGCGTTTGAAGGATCATGCTTCCATAGAGCATGTTGTTGAGCCTCTTGGAATAAAAACATACAATCAAACAATCACCCAGTCCTCAGTTGTACCATTCAGTAAGCATCAGCACGCCATGAAGTGTGCTCACTGCTGTGTTGTGGGGACATAAAATCTATCCCAGGCTTCTGTGGCCTCCCATTCTCTCCCGTCCAATGAACCTCTTTTCTGTTCCATTGGTCTACATCTCTGTTTCGGTACCAGTACCGTGCTGTTTTGATTACTGTAGCAGCTGACTAAGTTTGTGATCAGGATTTCAGTATTCATTGAGAGAAACAGAACCTTTTGCAAACAATCCACAGCACGACGTGCCCCTCATAAAGCTTTGTTTCTGTGTTGCAGGTAGTGCCGGTGTTTTATCTGAAGTGTGACTCTGGTAAGTATTCTGGAATTATTGTCAAGAAAAAAGCTGGTTTCAATGTGCAGTGCCACGCTGATTCTGGGATTGTGATAGGAATAAGCATAGTGAAAGTGTTTTTTAGAAACCTGAGTTCCCCGGGGAAAAATCATGGCCAAATTTTGAGGCAGCATCTGTGCTCCCTTTTGGCTGGTACTGAGTTGGGTGCTCGGGGTTTGGTGGTGTCTTGTGTGAGGCTGCATCATGTGATGTGAACGTGTGTGCTTCTGTGCAGGTGAGGCTGTGTGTTTTCTCAGGAGAGATTTTCCCATTTACACAGCCCATTCTCCAGTGTCTACTTTTAAAGAATAAAATCCAGCCCCACTCTACTCTGTCTGTACAGTGACTCCTCCACCCTCACCAGAGCCATCCCTGGGTCTGGTTTATTATCCTCACAGCTCAGGTGGAGAACCTGAAGGGCCAGGGGGTGGCCCCAGCTCCTGAGTTCCTGAATGAAAAAGAGAAAACACAAACCCAGGAGTCTGGGCCAGTGCTGACACTGGCAACTACTGGCATGCTCTCAGTCATGGGGTGTTCGCCACCGTGCAGAGTCCAGCATTCGTGTTTAAGCCCTAAGGAATTCCCAGACACTGCCCATCGTTATAAAGTGGCCTCCATGGTCACACAACTCAGGGCAGTTACAGGTACATCTCCCCACAGATCAGCGTAGTCATCAGTGTGAAAAGCACAAAGATGTTTGGGTTGGCTCACAGGTCCTTTTTTGTTTAATTTTTAAGTTCAGGGGAACCTGTGCGGGATGAGCAGGTTTGGTACATGCATAAACGTGTGTCATGAGCGTTTGTTGTACAGGTTATTTCATCATCCACATATTCAGCTTAATATCAGTTATTTTCCTGATCTTCCCCCTCCTCCCACCGTCCACCCTCCAGCAGGCCCCAAGCTCACAAATTCTAAGAGGAGTGGGGGACCGCACAGGCCAGTGCGGCCCACTTCAGGTGTGAAGTTAATTTGCTCAGCAGCTGGCCAAAGCACATAAGGATCCGTGATGATTTTTAGTAGATGTAGTAATATCTTCCCAAGCCCTAAAAATGCTCAAACCTGGCCAGCTGAAAATGGTGAGGGAGAGGGACAGGTAGGAACTCTGTGCAGCACTTGGTTTGTAGCCTGGTTTCCATCCCCTCATGGCAACTCTCTTGTGCATGCGGGTTAAAGGCCCTCAGCCTCAACCCAAGCCTCCTCCATGAGGAGACTCCCACTATTGGCCGGCTACTGCAGCATATGGACACCAGCCAAAGTGAAACAAAACGTTGCTTTAAAACAAGTTATGTATTCATAATGTCCACTCATTGTTTTGTAATCTCTGCTCTCTCTGTGGTTATGTCTTCCTATTAATTTCTGATATTAATTTTGTGATTTCCCTTTTTTCTTGATAAATCTCACTAATGACTTGTGTACTAGACTTTTCTTGAAAACAACTGTTGGCTTTCATCCATGGCTGGGGCATCATCCACAGCTGAATCATCATCCATGGCTGGGGCATCAGGGACATCATTCACAGATGGGCATCATCCACTGCTGGGGCATCATATCATCCACTGCTGGGGCATCATCCACACCTGGGGCATCATCCACTGCTGGGGCATCATCCACTGGTAGGACATCATCCACGCCTGGGGCATCATTCACTGATGGGGTATCATCCATGCCTGGGGCATCATCCACTGCTGGGGCATCATCCATGCCTCTGGTAGCTCTGCAGGAAGGTTGCCAACTCACCATTGCTTTCTCCAGGTTCCAGAGGCTTCCATTTAAAGGAGCGACTCTCCCAACTCTACTGGAATGTACTGGAAACTATGTTTTAAATAAAGCCATCCCTTACTTGGCACTAGAATATCAAGTCATTCATGTTTTTAACAGAACTTTGAGATATAATTCTAATGTTTTTTATATGAACATATATGTATGTGTATATATACAACTATATACATATGTGTATGTATATATATGCACAGTTGTATATACATGCACATACACATGTATACAGTTATGTATATAGTTTATGTGTGTGTATATATATACACATATGCATATATGTATAGTTTTAGGACACAAAAATACTGATCTTGAGAAGAAAGCATTGGTCTACATAAATATTGAAACTATCTGGCATAGCAAAAGTCCCCTTTAAGAATATGACTTACAAAGCGCAGAGTGACAGAAAATGCTCACAGCGTGTACATGTAAAGAATGTGTCATGTTGGCCCCAGCTGCCAACGTTGCCAGTGTTGCTGCTGTCCTTGGTGCAGACAGCTGTGGCATTGAACCTTCGGATGCTGAGGGTGGCTGAGTTGGCCCTACCTGGGCCACAGACCCTAAATTGGACAGAGGGGAGGGACTGTGGGTCAGAATCAGCATAGTGAGGAGGGAGGGTGCATGGAGCAGAGCCGACTGTGGATCCGTGTCCCTAGGTGAGGTGCCCCCTCCTCTGTGCAGTGAGGGAGGAGGGTAAAGACAGAAGCCCTGGGGATGGTTCAGATACCACTGTGCTTCCTGACACTCTTGCTGTGGAGCCTCAGCTTTCCGAAGCCACCTTACATCTCCCAAAACCTTCATGGGAGCAGAGCCACTGCATTTAAGTAAGAGCTGCGTCTTCCTGGGCCCCTCTGTTCTGAGTTCTCACAGCTGACCTGGTGGGCTGAAGGTGTGTCCTAGCAGTTAGTGTTGCCACCCAAATCTACCCAGTTGGCTCCCTGATGACCAAACTCCCACGGAGGCTCTGAGTCATTTTCCAGCAGAAAGAGGCCATCTCAGGAGTGTCCCTCACTGTCCCATACTGCCCTATGACCCCAAAGCCTTCCCGCCTCTGGCACACCGGGGAATCTCAGGTGGAGAGCCTTGGCTGTCCTGATCCTTCTTTCTGAAGCTGCTCACGATGTCAGAGAGGGGCTAGGGCAGCCGGGAATCCTAAATAAAGAAGACGTGGGTTGAAGGGAGGTCACTTGTTCCTGCCAGCTGTGCCAGCAGAGCATGTGTGGCACTATCTGTCAGTATTTCCGGGGACCCGGAAGCACAGAGTTTATTCACACTATTAAAACTCTCAGCATCAGCCACCTAAAGGCCTCTCTTTCATATATTTTATAACCATTTCAACTCATGTTTTCCTCCATCTCTGAATCACCAACTCAAGTGTAAATCATGTGGTTCCACTTCGACTTCCAAATCATCTCTACACATACTTAAACAATTCATAGTGTGTTTCTATTTCTTAAGCAAATAAGTTTTCCTCTTTAGACCTCATCTGGTTTATTTTTTATTTTTTCTGAGATTTAAACTCAGACTTAAACATTTAATTTCATCCATATGTGCATATGAACCATTTCCATCCCTTCCAACAGGTCAGCATTGCGTAAGCTACACTTTACTTATAAACCCTTGTGCTGAGCACCCAGGTTTGCTGCCAATAACACGTGACCAGTGAGGACTTTCTTCTGCTCATTGCCCTCCATCTCTGAATCACAGTGGACTAGCCGCATGGAGGGTGCACACTTAATGTTACTATGTGCTGAGGGACGTCCTGCCGGATGGCTGACCTTAGACCTTATAAATATCCCAGTTGTGGGTAAGAGCTTCTGAAGCTCCACAGCCTGACTGGAAATTTGTTTTATTTTTATTTTTTAAATTGCCACGTTAGTTGTCTGCTCAACACTGACTGGTTTCATGCCTCACTCAGAAGTAACTGCACAATTCTAGAGCATCCACAGGAACCTATAGGTTTTGCCTGCTCCTGACCCTGGCTGTCTGATCTCCAAGCCCTCTCCCTGGCTTCCTGCTGAGGGGGCTCTGGCAGCTCCTGCCACTCCCATTTTGCCCTCCCCAAGCCCTTTTGCCTTGCTCTCTGCTGTTCCAGGCAGCTCCTCCCACACAGATGTGCTGGGTTCCACAGGGGTTTCTTTCACCTCAGGTGGATCAGAACGTGTTCATTTGACTTTTATTCATCCACATTTTGCCTTCTCTAAATTGCTTTGTTGTGATATTTGTCCATTTTTAGTGACATTTCCATTTTATTTGTCTTTTCTATTTTTTTTTCTGAAATCTGGATTCCTTGCTAATATCTTTCCATTATTTCATATCCCTCTGCAATTTGGCCTATTGGATCCTTCTTCTTACAAAGCACCTTACATAGCCATTCAGGAGCTCATAAGGTTATGTGCCTTATCAGAATCCTAGAAACCTCAGCGAGTTCAGCACATGAAAATGCACTCAATCCCAAGTCATTAGCAGAGTACACATTGAAACTAGTTTCTCACTCTTACACCCACCAGAATAGGCATGCTATCAGAGACAAAAATGCAAAGGGTGGTGAGGATGTGGAGGAACTTGAACTGTCATGTTACTCTGGGAACATACTTAGTTTCAACCATTTTGATAAATGGCTTTCTAGTGTGTACCACAGTCATCAGCACCTGTGACCCCACAGTCCCACTCCCGCCACCTATGTTCAAGAGACATGAGCCAAGGATGATGTTGTCCACCTGGGGAACTTTACAGAAGCCTTGATTCAAGCAACCATCATGAGAAACAGCAGAGTGAATGTAAAAAAGTGTAAAAAACACAGAGGTGTGAACTAATTGTGCCAACTTTCTACAATGTTATATACTGACTCAGCAGTACAAAATGACAGATGTTTCATCACGTGGAACATGGATGAAATTCACATATTCACATATAATTTTCAATCAGAAACAAAAGAGTACATGCTGTAGGTTTGCATTTGTATGATGTTTAAAAATAAATTTAAAATACATTGATCATGATCAGAGTAGGTATATCCTGGGGTTACTGCCTGGAAATTAGCTGAAGAGGGACTGCCAGGAGATTTACATCTGGGTGCTGGTAACAGTGTTTGTAAGAAGGCAGCAGTCTGTGCATGTCATATATGTGCACTGTGCCACAGATAAAACAGCCATCACCTTGCAAAACGAATGCAAATCATCTTTCCATCGTGCAAACGTCCATCCTTATTGTCTCCCTGGGAGTCTATATTTTAAATAGAAGTGACTTCAATTTTGTATGTACAAGAACATGCTCACACTGCTCTCTTTTAACTGGGAACATCATGATAGCAAATTCTGTAAAAGACATGACAAGAAAGGTGAATTAAAAGTCAAATGTTTTCGAATACTGTTGCCAAAATCCAACACAATATGTTAGCAATCTTGATTCCGAGGTTTGTTTTTTAAATTTTTCTTTGAGTTTGGGATACATGTGCAGAATGTGCAGGTTAGTTACACAGGTATACATGGGCCATGGTGGTTTGCTGCACCTATCAACCTGTCATCTAGATTTTAAGCCCAACATGCATTAAGTATTTGTCCTAATGCTCTCCCTCCCCTTGCCCCCTACCCCGACAAGCCCCAGTGTGTGGTGTTCCCCTCCCATTGCCCATGTGTTCTTACTGTTCAACTCCCACTTATGAGTGAGAACATGCGGTGTTCGGTTTTCTGTTCCTGTGTTAGTTTGCTGAGGATGATAGCTTCCAGCTCTATGTCCCTGAAAAAAACAAGAACTCACTCTTTTTATGGATGCACAGTAATCCATGGTGTATATGTGTGCCACATTTTGGTTTTGTAAAGGAAAGACTGGGGTTTTGATATGGATATAACTGTGGTGGGATGAGAACAGGATCCCTACTGTTTAGTGTCCTTCTGGGGAGAGAAGCAAGAAGAGACAAAGCCGTCGGGTTATAGGAACGGACATTTGGTTAGAAATAGGACGTGGGTGGTCCTCAGGGACAGCCCTGGGGTGGGGTCTCCAGGCTTTCGCTGTGGAGGGTTCCCTCTAAGAAGAGAAGGGACTCTGTGCATTGTCCCTGCAGGGCTCGGGATGAAATAGGAGCCTGAAAATGCTGACCTTTGGTTTGGAAGAAATTGACAGGAAGAAAGGTCCACTCTGTGCTGTGCAGTCACTGCCTATCCTCAGCCAGGCCTTAGTCCAGCTGCACAGACAGTGGCTCAGATCAATAGTAAGTCAGGCGGAAAGCCTTATAAACTGAGTTCATCAAGCCACTGACACTCCAGCCTAGGCGCCTCTTATCAGATAAGGGCATTAGCCACCCAGGGTTGGCCAAGTGGAGGGAAGTGAAGTGGTCATGTGACAGTTTAGAGTGTTGCTTTCTAAAACAGTTGGGTGTTACAAAGCCTAATACAGTTAGGGGTCAGTTGGCTGCAGGGGTCCCTTGTAGCCAACTGATCGTTGAAAACGTGTAGCCCGTGGCAGGTGACTGTGATGCTGGTATGAAAGGATTGCCCTGTTTTGAATCACCCTCATCTTTCAAAAGGCATCATTTGAGATAAACCACATCCTGTTTGGAGTCTGGGATGGAAAGGGAGAGACAGAGGCCGGGTCTTGTGTCCAAGCTGTTATCTAGGCTCAGGCATCTATTCCAGGACATCATCCCTCCCACGGAAACCTTGGGTCAGGACATCGTGAGAGTCAGGGGAGTTCATGTTTTGCGGGGGTCTTAGAGCATGATCTGGAGGTCTAAAGTGTGCAGACATCTCTGGCCCCGAGGCCTAAGGTATGCTTCTGCCCCAGGTGCATCACACACACAGCAGTGTGGTGACTGGAAAGACACATGCCTTTAAGAGAATTTCTTCCAACTATGAAGTGCAGGCCACAGCTCCTGTTGTGCCCACCCTCAGGGCTGACATGGGCATCACAGGAGATGATCACATGTACTGTTTGTGCACTGTAAAGCCTCCCACACAGGCAAATGAAGAAAAGCCAACCTCCACCCTCCCCTGCCCTGGAGCATCCATGTCCCCTCTCTGGTCACCCACTGTCAAGTGTGTAGCTTCT